GTTTTCTAGAGCAGCTTTGAAAGCTCTCAGCAAGAAAGCTCCAAGTTCGTTGCTTGTCTCTTGGATGTCTGGGTCGAAACTTCCGAAGAGGGGCGTGCAGACCTGGACGTCACCGCGGCCGGCCCGAAGCAGCACTGCACGGAGCTCCTCGGCGATCACATCATACTTCTGCTGGTCAAACTTGGACATGGCCAGCTCGTCCTGGGGGTAGGCCGTGCCCTCGGGGTAGCAGTCTTTGGGCACCGGGAACTCGACAGTCCGGAGCCTGCCCAGCTCGCAGAGAGCCACGAAGAGGCGCCTCAGGGCCCGGGCTGACAGCGGGTTCCCCAGGAAGCGGAGCTCACGGAGCTCGTGGCAAGGGCTCAGGGCCAGGATCAGCATGCCCACGTGCCGGTCTTCGATGCCGCACTCCTCCACGGTGAGCACCCTCAGCGTCCGGGCCGCCCGGCTCAGCAGCCTGGAGAAGGTGGAAGGGAACAGGCTGAACAGGTTGTGGCCGCTGAGGTCCAGCACCTCCAGGCATGTGGCGTGGGGACAGTCTGCCAAGAAGGCCATGTCTGTGTGGTTCAGGGAGCAGTTGGCCAGGTCCAGGGTCCTCAGCAGCGTCCGTAGGGGCCTAGGGCAGGGCAGAAAACAGCGCCAGTGAGGGGCGGTCCCGGTGAGGACCTCTGGGAGGAACCGAGTTGAACTGTCTCTCAAGGGCCATGGACTGCGGCCCCAAGGCCAAACCCATGGCTGCCTGATCTGACTCAGCCTGACAGTAAAATGGTTTTCCATCTTTAAACGGTAGAGCAATCAAAAGAAGGATGATACTCTGGGACGTGCGGAAATAACACGAAATTCCATTCTCAGTGTCCGTAAATAAAGTGCCGGTGAGAACTAGGCTCACTCCTTTGTCTGTAGCTTCAGGGCTGTGATGTCAGAGTTGATCAGCCTTCCCTGATCACCCAGCCCTCTCCGGTCCCCTGGCCCTGCTGGTGCTCCCACCCCTGTGTGGGGTCCTCCCCTCACGCGGGCAAGCCTGCTGACTGGCCGCACACCGACACGGTCCCCAGAAGCAGGACAGATCCGTCTCAAGAGCAGGCTGGGGCTTCTACCCCGGGATCTCTGGTTCTCGGCTCCGCTGTGAGAACGCCCAGCAGCCACGGCGCAGAGGCTGCCCACCAATGGCCACAGGCTGAACTTGGAAGCTGATTGCCTCCCCCTCCCAGCCCACCCAGCCTTCAGGGAGACCGCTGGCAGCAGACCCAAGCTGAGCCAGCTCTCGACGGACTTGTCGCTGCGCACCCAGCGTTGCGATGATCTGTCCCAAGAACACGATTAGTCACTCCCATGCCGTCTGCTTCACTAATCAGCAGTGCTCCCGTCTGTTCACCAACAGAAAACAGTCCTCCTCGAGCTCCCCACCGGGCTACGCACAGCCCCACTGTCTGGGGCCTCCTGCCGCCCTGGGCCCTCCCGGGGTGAAGGCAGAGGGTATCGGGGATCCCGTGGCCTTGTAGGCAGCTGGGTCCCGCCCGATGATCCCTCGTGCCTCTTCGGCCTGGCCTCCGGGGGCCCCCTGTCGGCAGACCTGCGCCACGAGGCTGGGAGCCGCACCCCCCCTTATCCCCCCCTCCCGCCCCGCCCCACCCGGCCCTCTGGGCCATCATGCAACTTACCCGAGCAGTTTCGGGACCTTCCCAGTCAGTGTGGAGAAGGCCACGCTCAGCTCCGTGAGCCGGCTCATCCGGCTGAGCTCCCAGGCGATGGAGGAGAGGAGGGGGTCCTCGCCATCGGGCCTGCGGGTGCTGGTGGGGGGCGCATCGAAGGCCCTGGCCGGCAGGGTGAGCGAGGCCAGCTGGGGGAAGCGCACCTCGGCCAGCAGCTCCTGCACGTGGCCGGCGTGCAGCCGCACGTTGTGCACCACCTCCAGCCGGCGCAGCTCCCCCGGCCCGGCCAGACGCAGCACCTGTGAGAGCTGGCTGGGGTCCAGGCTGTCTGCCCGGAAGGACAGGCAATGCACACGTAGTGGGGTAGGGCCCGCTGGCCCCAGGGCCTGCACCACCACCTCGAAGTTTCCATCGGTGACGAAGAGATCGGCGACGACCCGAACGGGGCGCTGGGCCGCGGGGGCCTCCCCCTGCAGCTGGCAGCATGTCCTGGCCAGCAGCTCGGTGCGGCCCCACCTGCCCAGCGCCCTCCCACACGGGCACCGCTGCACCTGTACGTCTCGGACGCCTGTGAGGTCAGCCACGCGCAGCCGCCGCGGACCCCCAGCCCGGAGCACGTGGTCTGCGAGGCCCTGCACACAGGCCTCCAGGCATGCCCTGCAGGTGCGGTCCCGCAGGTCCTCCGCGGCTTCGGAGCCGGGCCCGAGCAGCGCACCCAGACGGAACTCCTCCAGGGGCCAGTGCTCCAGCAGGACGCGGATCAGCGCCGCCTGCTCCAGCAAGTAGCTGGCTTTGAAGAGGAGAGGGTAGAGGTTGTGGGCCACACCGTCCAGGCTCTGCTGGGCCACCTGGGGGTGAGACACCAGGGCCTTGGCAGAAATGAAGCGCAGCGATCTCATTGTGCCGAGCTCTCCCCTTGTGAGTCTCCCGAAGTTGTAAGCCCTTCCTGTTCATCTTTAGCTGCGGCTGCTGTGAGCGGTTTGCCTTAGGGCAGAAGGTCGTGAGCAGGCCCTCTGGTCACCTGACGGCTATTTTGGTCTATGTTGGGCTCTGGCCGTGGAGGCGTGGACAGTGGCCAGCCTGTCCTGGTGCTTAACTGCTGAAAACAGAGCTGTCCGAGGGCATGGCTCAGGGCCACTAGGCCCCTGACAAGTGCCGCTCCTGCCCACTGCAGGGATGGCCTGTGGTTGGGAGCTGCCATGGGCTGCACGGGCCTGAGCGCAGACCTGGGAGACCCCAGATGAAGGCCCCTCTGACCAGGGCCACGTTGCCTCAAAGTCACGGGAGTCAGGCTCCCCGGGTGAGGCCTGCTGGTGACGTCCCCAGATACGACAGAACCAAGTAAGAGAAACTTGACCATGTCTTAGAAAGACACATCTCATTTATTTATGTTCCTAAAGTTGGGAACAAGTCAGCACTGGAGCAGAGAAACAAAGAAACCAGCTTACAGCAGCTGGAAGTCACCAAGTCACTGTGGTGTGGACCCGGCCTGTGCCTCTGGCTGCCACCTGGGGGACAGGGTTCGTGGGGAAGACCTCCCAGCAGGAACCTCACTCAGGGTCTGGCGTGTACTCAGGCTTTCCCTGCATATCACTATTCTGTGCCTCCATTTGGCGAGGGGTGGCCCTCTTGGGGCACTGTCCACACCCCAGACCTCAGGCCCGGCAGCTGTGCCCTTGCCCCAGCCGGGATCCCAGGCCCACAGGTGGCGACCGGTTCCCACTATCTACACAGGTCTTGTTAAAAACAAAAAAACCCCGAGATTCCAAGCCCCCTCAGAGGCACCCCTGCACCTGGGACATACCACAGTGGGTGCCTCTCTGGGGGAACCACTGCCCATGGGCCTGCGTTGCCTGGAAGGACAGTGAGACGTGTTCCCAGAGGGTTCGCCCTCCCTGGACCGGGTCCAAGGTTCCACGGGCTCCCACCCCAATCTCGCTGCAGCCTTCAGAGCACGGGGGACACTCCGGGTGTGGAGGTCGGAGCCACCAGGGCCTCTGGGCCCCAGAGCTGGGGTGGAGGAGCCGTGTAGATGGCTGGAGGAAGGCTGGATGGCGCCCAGGCCGGCAGGGCCCATGGCGCGCTGTCTGCGTGGCCGGTGGCTGGAGTGGGGGGTGCGTCAGGAGCCCCCAGCAGGAGTGCCTCCTTTCCTGACCTCAGGCACAGGTCTGGGTGGAGGCTCCTGTGGTCCCTGTACTGGGGATTCTCCCTGGAGGGGCTGAGCCTCTTCCCAACACGTCACAGCTGTGAAAGGAAGGAGGTCGTTACTCACGGCCACTCGGCGCCCTGGGTGTGCACAGCACAGGGTCCTTGTCTGGGAGGCACTGGGAAGGCCTTGCTCCCTGCAAGGTGCTCTCGGACTCATGGACACGCAGGTTTGCAAGAAGCACTTGGGGCCAGTGTAGACAAGGTCAGGGCAGCAGAGACCAGAGTGTTCTCCGCAAGGCTGGCTGCTCTCAAGGCGGGTCTGCCCCGGCTCTAGGCCCAGAGGAGCCTGCGGGGTGGCTATCTTGTCTGGCATCACAGTGCTTCTGGAGGTAAAAAACTTTCTGGCCCCGAAATGGTCGGTTCCATGTTTGCTGTTCTGATCCTAGAACACAAGCGCGTGCACCTCCCAGCAACTCCGGTGGGGCCCAGGGAGTGGGCTAGGAGTCCATGTCAGGGAGGTCCCTGTTCTCAGGACAGGCGGAGGTGGTCCCCACTGGCTCCTGTGGCCAGGCCTCTGGGGAGTGACTGCACCACGGGCCAAGGGCCCCTTCGTGTTGCAGGAAAACCTGAGCTCTCAGAAATCACTCCACACCACTCTCTTGGGTGTGCAGTTTCCGGGGGGTTTAGGCAGCAAGACCCCGGGGAGGTTGATCTGGGCACTGGAGAACAGAGGACAGCCTTGCAGGCCAGGGTGCCCCTCCTGGGGGGCTGTTCACGTCTAGCTGCGTGACTGTGCGTGGGAGCATCTGGAACGGGGTGGAGACGTGGCCAGGTAGGCTGGCTGCTGGCGGCATGCGCCCAGCACCTTAGGGTGGCCGTGGATGCGAGAACCCTCCTGTTATTTCAGGGGAGCAGGGACGGCCTGCCAGGCAGACCACTGTCCAGAAGCCTTTGCTCTGGCAGAAGGACAGGAGACCACTAATCGGAGACCATGTCACTGGTCTTCATCAGTGACGGACTAAAGACCCGTCCCGCACACTGGACGCTCAGCACACCCTCAGACCCAACCCTTCCCTCTGATGTGGCCCAGAAGATGGACGCGAGTATCTGCCCGGAACTGGGGGGAATGGGGGTGCCTCCCCACAACCAGGACCGTGTTTGCCAAAGTGGATATGGGTGTGACCCGAGGCTGGGTGAAGGTCAGCCGAGCGAGACTAGGGGCTTCCTCTTTGGGGGCCCCTTTCCCTGGTCGCCCCATCCCTCTGTTGGGGAGGACACGTCTGTGTGCACGTGCAAGGCTGTGTCTGGGCTCTCCCCTGCTGACTGTGGACAGGGAATGGCCGGTTTTCAGGTAGGAAGACCCACCAGGATCCTTGAGCAGGTCCTGAGCCTCTCTTGGGGTGGCGGGGGGTGTCTCAGGAGTGGGGACTCACCATCGTGGTGTGCTGGCTGAGCGTGGGCACCTGTGCACCCCTCCTGGGGCCCTCCTCAGAGAACAGCTTTGGGAGCCCGAGGCCATTGTCCCCCGATGACGTGCCCTCGGTCACTGCAAAGGGGGGCTGGGTCAGGGCTGGCCGCCCCCCCTTCTCCATGCTCAGCACTCAAGGCCCCCCGAAGCGTGTAAGCAGAGAACAAGGCATGTCCTGCGCATGCAGACTTATCGCAGGGTGACTGTGAGGCTGGGTCTGCGCAGGCAGGACGACGCTGCTGGGGGCCAGGCACCCTTAGGAGCAAGTGTCTCCAGACCCAGCTTTTCTGGAATCAGAGGATGGGGGGATGGGGCTCTCTCCTCCAGCGGGAAGCCTCGGGCTCACACCGGGCAACTCCAAGGGGAAACACAGAAAATGAGGCCAAAGAAAGGCTGTGTGGCTTCAAGGCAGAGCGGGAAGGGAGGGGGACGAGGTCTCCACCCCAAAGGGCTGCGGGGGGCCTGTTCGCGTCCCCGCCGGCGAAGCCGTACATCGCCACATGTTCTGCACGCACGCAGCCCATGGCCCTGTGGCGTGGGCATGACCTCCTGGCGGCTGTGGGGGCTTTGCCGCAAGCTTCTGCGCAGGGATCACGATGCTGGGATCACCGTGCAGTTTCTGCGCGGGGCTGAGCCTGGCTGAACAGAGCCCTCCCGCAGGCAGCCTTGCCCTCCATGGGAGAAGAGGCAGCTGCACCCGCAGACTCAGGGCGCGGGGGCTGCTCTGGCCCATGTGGGGGCTTGGGAGGCCGCCGCCGGGAAGGTGGGTAGACCCCCAGCCATGCCCCGCGTGGGCCGGCACGGGACAAGCCCGACTGAGGGGCCACTGCTCTGTGCACCCAGGCACCCCAGCAGGGCTCCGGCACGAGGCCTCCATCTGCGCAGAGACGCGCTTGTGGTAGAGGGTGCTCTCCGAGCCGCCGTCCTGTCATGGCAGCAGAGGAACATGGGGGCCAGGAAGGACGTGGGTCCCTGGCAGTGCTGCCCTGAGCAGGGGCCTCCCTAGGGCTGTGGTACCGTGGGAGGACTTGTTCTGGGAACCCAGACACCTGTGGGGTCCCCCAGGCAGGAGGCAGAGGAAACCAACGACTGGGGTGCCGCCGCACACCCGTTCCCTCGGTGTGGAGCGGAGGGCAGGCCGGCACTGAGTCTGGCCCTGCCAGGTCGTCGGTGCGCGGCTGGCTAGGGTGCAGGTAGAGCCTGGCCGCGGGCCCTGGCACAAGGACTCATCCACACAGGCACACTCGGGTCGCTCATGAAAGGCTCCACTCCTCCTCCCTGTGGGCACTGTGTGCTCAGCCTTCGTCTCTGCTGCCTCGTTAGTCCTTCTGTTCTGCTCTCCTGCCTTCTCTAGACTGAGCTGTTCCTACACTTCCATTCTATCTCCCCTGCTGGCATATTAGCTCTAAGTGTTTTGTTATTTGAGGGGTCGTTTGGGGTTTAAAATGTCTGTCTAATGAATCAGATGCCTCCCGTGATACTGTACACCTTGGCCATGGCACAGAATGGCCACATTTCCAGACGTCCTGCACGCACATGTCCCATCGGCCTCAAGGATGTTCCTGCCGTGTTCCCTTTCCTCTGTGCTGTCCTCACAGAAATTTCACTATAGTCTTCATTCTGCCGCTCCGAGTGTCCCTGCCCTTCTCCCTGCAGATCGTCCTTGGACACTTCGGGTCTGCTGGTGAGCCGTCTTGGCTTCCGCAGGCATGAACTCGTCCTGGTCTCACCGTTTCTGAAAGGTGTACCTGTCACACTGAGCTCTAGTTTCACAGTTTTCTCTTTCAGAGTGTTTGGACTGTCCCTCCCTTGTGCTGTCTTCGATAAGAACCCTGCTGCCACCATCCCTGTCCCCGGCACAGAGCAGGCCACTCTCTAGCTGCTCTCAGGGTGTTCCATGTGTCACTGGCTTCCCCGCGGATGATGTGCACTTACGGGTGCTGGGGCTCATTGGGCTTCCTACCCGCGGGTTTACACCTTCACCAAATCAAGGAGATATCCGTGCCTTCAAAGTTTTGTTGTCCCTCCATTTTGGGGCTTTTAGGTGTTTATGAAGCCTCTCGAAATTGTCCCACAAGTCATCGATTTTCTGCCTTGATTCTCTGTGTGTCATTTTGGACAGTGTCTACCGATTTGTCTCCAATAAGTTGTGCTTTCTGTTACCCCTTTCTGTTACCTTTCTGTTACCTGAGGACATGTCCACCCTAAGTACTGTGGCCTTTGTTCGTGCCAAGTTTAGTCCATCCTATCTTCCTGGTTGTGACCCAGCATTCTGGACATCAGGGACGTGGAATGCTGGTGTGAGTGCCGGGACTGGGAATTCTAGCGACCACCTTGGTTCTGGCTGACTGATCATTGCCCTTGTTACGGCCTGTTTCCTGCCTCCCTGCTCACCTGGTACCAGCCTGTGTACCTACCCTGTCGGCTGGGGATTTCTGTGACCCCATAAATCTCCTTAAGCTTTGCTCCAGGACGTGGCTGGATTCCCTGCAGATGCCCTGTGTTCACGACATGGTGGCAGGTCAGCAGGGACGCTCAGTCCAACACCCTCCTCCCCCCTTGCAGGCCCCGCTCAGGACCCACCACCTCCCTGGGGATGGGATGCTGCCATCAGCTGCTGGGAACAGGTGTGTGTGTGTGTGGAGGGTACTCTCTCATGGTCCAGGGATCTGGCCTGGACAGCCTTCCCAGGTGCGGTGCTCTCTGCTGTACCCAGACCCTGGAGGCCTGTCCTGGCACGGGACTCCCCGGCTCTGTCCTCCACCGGGGGTCTGCAGGCTCTCTGTCCCGCACCTGGGGGCTCTCAAGGCAGAAATCAGAGCAGTCATAGAGCCCCCATCACAGTCCTGTCTCTCATGGCACTACCTTTGGAGCGGGATGTCGTAGGTTTTGAAATCGCCTTTCACATATTTCATCTGTTCCTGTTTGCTTGTGCCTGGTTCTGGTTTGCTTGCTGTTTTAAACCTATTCCCTGTTACCTCATCGTAGGTGGAAGTGACAGTTTTTGTTGTTTTTTTTTTAATTTAAGAAAAACTGTAATGTGTTTGAAGACTCTTGGAAGTCTGTAAGAGCAAGTGACTTAGATGACCCAGTGAACCCCCCCACCCCTGGAACCAGCTGTTGGAGGCTGGAGTGGGCACGGTCTGTGCCTGGGCGCACTCACGTAGGGAAGGCAGGCTGCCGGGCTCCTGTTCCAGCTCCTCCTCCTCCTGGAAGCAGGCGTGCAAGTCAGTGGGCCAGGGGCAGTGGGTGGAGCTCAGCAGGGCTGGGCTGGCTGATGACTTCGGGCTCAGTGGCCCCAGGGCCAAGGATGACTGGCTGCCCGAGGAGGAGGTACTGCTGTCTGAGATGGTGGAATGTGGTCTCTTAAAGGGGGCAGCATGGTCACAGAGGGGCACAACCACGGATGCTCGGGTCCGTAACTCTGGAACGGGACAGAAAGCAGGTCAGCCTGGCACTTGCTCTCCACGTGCAGCCCAGATCCGAAAATGGAGTAGTCTTCTGGGAAACCGACCAGGTCCCTCCCCCTCAGTCCTGTCAGGTGTGACGTGGCCACCACCCATCCAGCCTGCTGTGCTGGCTCTTGGGGTCCAATGTGAGTACCAGGGGCCCGAGTCTGAGTCCGTGGGACAGAACGGGGGGAGGGCTGAAGCCACGTTACCTGCTCCCTTCTTGACAGCCCGGTCACTTATGGCTGCATGGCTGGGCTGGATGTCCATGAACGGCTTGTCGCCTATCCCCAGGGACACCATTTCTTGCATTCTGAGTTCTAAAATGGAGTAACGCAGGACAACCCTCCAAGCCGCGGTTTGGCTTTGATTCCACTGCTGACGACACTCTGTACCCAACCATCCAGACCAGAAGCACGGCAGGGCCTGGCCCGGCGCCCTCCCCAAGTGCTGCAGGGCCCCCGAGGGGCTGGGGCTCCCGTGCCGGCATGTGCTCCTGGTCTGGCCTCACCATGGCCTCTCTTAGGGAGCTCAAGGAGCAAACCAGAAGAAGGGGGACACGGGACTCAGGGACGGGTGTCCGACTGGGCGCCAGAGAAGGGAGGGGTCCCCTCTCAGCATAAAGGACGGTGGGTCAGTCAGCCAAACCTGCAGGGGGCACATGGCTACAAGACAGACAAGCGGACAGACATTTACAAGGCTTTGGCTACAGAGCCTAGCGTGAGGGTCTCACAATGAGTTACTCCTGGGTAAAACCAAGCAAAGAAAACCAAAGATATTATTCCAGTTGGGGGCAGTGGAGAGGGAGGGGCGGGAAGGGAGGAGACTGCGGAGGGCAGTGGGGGTCAGGCCGAGGGGGATTCCCGCTCCGTGGAAGGGCCAGGTCCACTCTATGGGGACTGGGAGCCAGTGAGTGTCTCAGCCGAGTTGCAGGGCACACGTACGCATGTGCGAGTGTGGACATGCGTGTACGCGCGTGTGCATGGGGTGCTCTGCCCTCTGGAGGAAGCTGCTGGGGGAGGCCGTGCTGCGTCTCTGACGACAGGCCAGGACACTGGCCAGGTGGCTGCTGAGAAAGGTCAGGAGGTCGTGCTTCCCTGTTAGGACACTGGGGCCCTTAGGGTTTCTCCTGCCTGGGCAGTCGGAGCAAAGGGCCGGCTCGGAGGGGCGGCCATGCAGACGGCATCTGTAGCAGCCGGACTGGGTGAAACGCTGCCCGGCGGGTGTGAACGGGGGGCTCCAGGGATGAAATCGGGGGGGGGGGGCGCAGAGGAGAGGACCAACCAAGGGGGCCAACTTCCAGGAGCAGGAAACCTAGGGGAGTCCTGGCACTAGGAGCGCAGCACCTGATGGGGACGGCCCTCTCCTCCAGGGAGGCCACGGGCGGGCCATCAGCCCCGTGTCCAGAGGGGCAGGACACTTTGACGAAGGGTGAGGCAGAGAGCAGTGGGCCTAAGCTGTCCCGGAGCAGATTATGACAACATCTCTGGAGTTGCCCTGTGGGGATGGAGGTCTTGTAAAGGGTAGGTTTTTCTGTGCAGTGATGGGAGGGTCATCCATTTCCACATGGATGGAGGAGCTCTCCAAGGGCCACCTGCTCCGTACTGGCCCCAAACACCTATCCAGGTCCAAGCCCCACACCCTTGACCCCAACGCCCTGCCCTGAACTCAGCCCCTCACCCCAGCCCTAAATCTCTACCCCGAGGCTGGCCCCCTAAACACAGAGCTGGCCCTGGGTGGCCCTCTTCTGCCCACCTCTGTTCCGCAGAGCCTGCCGCCACAGGATCTGCCCCATCACGTGGGTCCAGGCCGACTTGACCTCTGCAGAGCTGGCTTGGAGAATGTAGGTGTCCTGGGACTTCCGCCGCCTGCGGAACCAGATCTCAAATCTCAAGCCGCTGTCTCCAATATTCTCCGTCATCCCAATCTCCGCCATCTGCACCAGAAGCCGCGAGGGGCAGCGGTGTCAGCAAACACCGGTCCGCGCTTGAGCACACGACCCTCCGGCAGACAGCTGACCGCAGCACCTCAGGAATGGAGCTCCTTCACCCGACACTGAACGGTGCAGGATGAACGGGGGTCCTGCCCATGTGCACTGGCTCCGTCTTGGAGCCTCAGTTTCCCCACTGGAGAAAGGGAGGCCGGACTGGCAGGCTCTATGGTGTCCTGAGGCTGTTGCACGGGACGGGGCCAAAGGACCCCCTCTGGTGTTCTCCTCTGCGTTGGCAGGTAAGGGGTTACAGGTGTGGGCTCCTCCTGGGGGCTCAGGAGCTCAGAACCTCCAGAGGGTGGGGGCCACACTTGGTGACTGGCCCAGGGGAAGGCCATCTCTAGTGTCTGCCTTCACCAAAATCGGAAATTAAGTTACCAGTTGAGACACTGAGTTTTCCAGCCACTGAAACAGCCCCGGGAACCGTAAAGGACAAATGTGACTCTGCAGCTTTCAGAGCTCAGACACAGAAGCCCAGAAAATGAGTGTCACCCGTCCCTGCTCGTGCCCAGCAGACCAGGACCTGATACCCTGCAGCATCAGGTGTGAGGCAGCCACGTTACCTTGAAGGACTGCTTGTACGTGTAGGTGTCGTAACCCCCTTCCACCTTCCTGGTCTTGCTAAACAGGATGAGGTCTTCGAAGAGGAACACGTGCCTCAGGTGCTTCCTCCTCCCGCAGCACACGATGAACTCGTCCTGGCATCTCAGCGGCCCCTGCTCCTTCAGACTCACCTGCACACGGAGCAAGCCTTCCTCAGGGACACTTGGACCTGCCCCGACCCCACCCTGAGCCCCACGGAGAGGCCAGGGGCTGGGGGTAAACTGACCACCAATGGCCGGTGCCTCCCCAGTGATGCCTGTGTAAGGAAGCCTCCGTCAGACCCAAAGGACACAGCTCGGGAGCTTCTGGGATGAACAAGTGTGGCTTCCTGGGGTGGGGGCATGGCCCTCTCCCCACACCGGGCCCCGTGCCTCTATTCTGGCTGCCTATTCCCGAGAAAGGCCCCTTACAACAAACCAGGGATGCTGGAAGTGAGCTGTTTCTCTGGGCTGTGGTTGTCATGACGTCCGTGTATGGTGTGTCGGGGGCGTCTCGTAGGACGGAGCCCCTCCCCGTGGGGTCTTGCCCTATGTCTAGGCAGATGGTAGCGGGATTGAGCTGAGTTATTGGAAGCCCAGCTGGTGTCTGAGACGTGCTCGGAAGTATGGGGACGGCCACACACGTTGGAACTGGGGCTGAAGCCAGGAGGCCAGGAAGGGCCGCGCTCGTCTGCACGACGGTCGCAGCTCAGTTTTACCACACCTTCCACTCGAAAGCCCTGGTGTCCATTGGAACAGAAGCCCCGTTTGCTGACACAGGGCTAGTCTCACTCGTTACCATGTAAACACCCGACAGGGACCCTGTCACGAGTTCTGCACCCGAGCGCCCCTTGCCGCCAGACTTCCCCACAAGCTGCAGTCCGGGCTGGTGGCTATCTGGGAGGACGTGGGCTCCACACCCTGGCCAAGCCACGGCTCCCTTTGTGGTGTGCATTCCAAACCACAGAAACCCATGCAAGCTCTCTTGTGACCTCCCAGCCCATGGCCAGCCCTGTCCCAAATAGCTGGGCCTGCTGAATGAAGGGGTCCTGGGGGTGACCACACTTGGGGTGCCCTGCGTCCTCCACGGCCATCCACGGAGAAATACACTCTGTGCTGGACTCCATCTGTGGCAGCAGCTGCAGCCACGGCTCTACCTTTCCTAGCTGGCTCCGGGGGTCCCCCGTCCAGCCCGGGTGGGGTCAGGGGGCAGGGTGTCAACACAGCTCCAACCATACCCACACATTGGCCAGTTCATCTTGCAAGGCTCCCAGGGTCGGTCAGCAGGAGGACAGTCCACCCGGGAGCCGGGCCGCATCACGGCAACTAGAGGGCCTGCGCTCAGACCTGCTGCTCATGAAACTCTTACTGTCTGCAGCGGGGCACACGCAGTTTCATTTTGTGCTGGGAATTCTGTGACTGTCCCTCCAGCTGTCCGAGGTACGGGGCTCTGCTGGAGAAAGGGCTCTTCTTCTGTCTATGCAAGGCCCGTCATGCCACCGTGTGGGGGGCACGGGCGCCGGGCCTCGGCACCCCAGCAGAGAGGCTGGTGGCATGGGGTGAGCCGACGCTGGTCGGCCCCAAGCCTGACGGCCAAGCTCATGTTTTTCATGCATCCCCTTGTTCTGAAGTCGCCCCAACAAGCGGACGGTGAGCCATTTAGAGCCAGGCACAGTTGCCTAGACACGACAGCCATCCCTACCGCCCTGGTCCGCTGGCCCCTCGGGAGGCCTCAAGCTTCAGGAGACCCCCAGAGGAGAGCATGCGCTCTGACCCCAGGCCTCATCCTTCCCCATCTCAGGAGAGCCCGTCTGGGCCTCGGGGCACTTACGTCACAGCCTCGGACGGCGTCCATGGCCAGCAGGTCGTTGCCGTGACGCAGCTGGAAACGGACCATGTCCGCGGCGGCCTGGAGCTCGCGCAGCTCCTGCTCCCCGGCGGGGCAGCCGCCAGCCTCCCGCACCAGGTCCTGCAGCAGCAGCAAGTACTTGCCCATACGCTGCACGGGCTTCAGCAAGTAGGAGGCCAAGTCCATCTTGTCGCCCAGCTGCTGCTGCTTGTCCTGCAAGGGCCGGGGCGAGAGGGTCAGTCTGGGCCGGGGTGGGGGGGGCGCAGAGCGGCTTGTGGGGTGGGGGGGTGACCTTGAAGAAGGCGTTTCCGTGGCTGCAGAGCAGGGCGTCCGACTGGGGCTTGTTCTTGCTGTAGAGCGCGTACATGCTGAACTCTTCCTCCTGCAACAGGGGAGGGCGCCGAGCACCTGAGCTGGGGCCAGGGCAGTGTCTGTGCCTCTGCCCCACCCTCTGTTTGCAGAGCCCCACGGGCATGCGATGAGGAGGCTCAAGGTTGCATTAAGACCCTCTTGGCTTCCCAGCATGTGGGGGCAACTCGGGTTGATGCCAGAGTTCCAGAATCGGTCTTTACAATACAGGGATTGGGGAAGAGGCGGAGGCCGGCCTGGGAAGGAGCATGGGGAGGGTTTGCCCCTTAACGGTCAAGAACCAAAGTTGTGTCAACATTTAAAATTCTCACCATTGTTGTCAATGCAAAGCAACACAGAGTTTGCCTTATGGCTAAAAGCACTTTCTTAGAAATAGCTGAAAAGACGCAACATGGGCTTTCTTTACATGTCTGTTGTAGTAATCTATATTTCATAATGCTGGGCCCAGAGCCGCGTCTGCCCGCAGCCCAGAGGCCACTGCGTCCCCACTGCCTGGAGCACTGACTTGGTGAGAGCATGTTCTCTACAGACTGAATTCAGAATTTCATGAAGACCCGGGAGGGAAGAGGCTCATGTCTGCAGCTGGGAAAACACTCACTCATCAAGGAGAGAGCAGCCCTTCAGCTGGTGCATCCTCCATGAGCCTCCATCGAGACCCCGACAGGGCTGCACGCCAAGGGACTGTGGGGGGCACCAGGTGGGCTCCCAGGGACAGGGAGCAAACTGATTTGGGGAGCTGCTTTGGGCCGATTACCTCGAGTGGTGAGGAGAGGGATGTGTGTGTGACCGTGCAGCGAACTCTCAGGGGCATGTGGCTCTGGGGAGCCAAGGGTGCCTTCGGGTGGCACTGAGTGACACGGCCAGAGTGATCAGACCCACAGGCTTCTCATCTATTTTGGTGTCTTGATTGACGGGTCTTGTGTCCTGTTAGGGACACATCTCCTAGGCCTGGTTTGCAGTGATCCAAATCCCCTGAACCGTGGGCACTGCCAGAGCCGGGCTCTCCGAGGGCACCCTGGGCTGATGTCCCCTCAGCTGACCACACAGCCAGCTGCCACACAGCCCAGCGCCCGGAGGGAGGGACTCACGTGTCTCAGGAACCCGCGGCCCGCTGCTAGTGGGCAGGGCTGGCAGCGCTCCAACTCTGTCAGGAAACGCTGGCCGTGGAAGTCATAGAGCTTCTCCAGGTTCCCAAAAACAACGCTGCGCTTCCCTCGAAGGGCCTGGGGCAGGTCTGTTCTTTCCATTTCTGGAAAGTAGTTGTCGATGACGTACCCTAGGGACCTAACGTACTCCCTCTCCGTGGAGACCATCTCAGCCATTATGTGCTGCCGGCGGCTGCTGGAAGACAGGGGGTGGGTGGACCCTGAGGGCGGACCCCTGCAGGCCTGGCCTCACTCCGGGCCTCAGACACCCTCGGCCAGCGTCATTCCTGCCTCACACGGAGACGAGGTGCTCTGCAGGCCCAGAGGAGTGCATGTGATTAGACATGGGCCGCATGTGCACAGAACGTAAGCACTTCCTACGTGATCTGTCAGCGGCAAACGCTGTCACGTGGGATCCTTTGACATAAACGAGTAAGAAGAGAAACACGGGGAGGAAGGTGTAGTAGAAACCGGTTGTGTGAAATGTCTCTATACTATTGGTCACGGCTGTTTAGGGTAAAAGATTCTTCTGGAAAGTGAACAAAAGAGACTCCCAGGACCCCGAACTTGAACCCGGGCCCTGCGGTCTCATCTTCAGATGGCTTGATGCTGGCACCCTCTGCAGGGACGGCTCTGGCAGTGGGAAGATTTAAACATGGCAAAGAAGCCTGTGCTGGGGACGTACAGGGAGATGTTTTCCAACGCCCACGGACTGCTAACCTATGGGAAGGCGCTTCTGGAAACCCAGCTTTACGTGGCAGAGACGTCTGACCTGGAGACCGAGGAGCAGCGGCTGGGGCTAAAATGGCAGAGCAGGGCCTCGGGGCCCAGGACGGAGCAGACGTGGGGAGCAGGGGGAAGGCAGCTCCTTCCTGCCACGCAGAGGGCTCCCCGGGCCCCTGCTGGTGTGGCGTCCAGCCAGGGATGTGTCTGCGGCAGAAGGCACTTTCGGAGGCACCGAGGAGAGCCCAACCTGCTAGCATCAGGGTGCACCGCCCTCCTGTGGGACAGCGCTCTGCCAGAACGCTCCTGAATTAATCCGCAGGATAGCAGGGGGCTCGCTGACATTTTTCTGCCATTACTTGTATCTGCCTTTTTTCTTTTAAAGCTGGAAAGCAATCAGAAGCAACCACTGACAGGAAATACACCTGTGGCCGGAAAGGCTGCTGCCCACTTGCAGCCGGAGAGCTGGTTCCTTTCCACACTCCCATAACGGACTTAACAAATACCTGTGGCTCCTGTGGCGGCAGCGCTCCCGGCAGTGCTGGCACAGGAGGCCTGGACGTCCCCCCAGTAAACCCGGGGTCCCAGGACCCACAGCACCCCTCCTATCAACAGTTGCTGAAAACAGGCAGCCTTAAATATTTAAAAACAAAACTAGGATGGTCTGGCCATTCGGAAATGGACACTTGACATAATGGCTAGAAATGTCTGCGGAAATGACTGCTGGCCCAGTGACAGGGACCCTCTCCGGGCAACTGGCAGAAGGCCTGGGTTTTCACGGAAGACTGGGTTAGTTTAACGCTCTTGACTCTGGGCCCCGGCACCTGAGCAGGACGTGTTCCCTCTCTGCTGTGCTGTGGGGTCCCACTACCAGACCCTGGGTTGACAGGTCCCTGGCTGTGAAAGGTGGAAGGGGGACCTGTCCCGGGGACAAAGGCAGGTCGCCTTCCTAAACCTGCTTGTTCCAGACTGAGGATGCCCACGGCGGAGCACGGGGCTCCCAGCAAGCGGAAGGCCCCCATCCCTGTGGTCTGCGCCTCTAAAACTTTCAGGAGGAGCTGGGGGGCTGGGAGAGTGCTTCCTCCCAGGGCCTTCCGAGGGATTCCAAACCCCAGGAAAAGCCACCCAGGGACTCCCCAATGAACCCCTCCTGTTCCACCTCAAGTTTCCACCCCAAACAAGCTGCACCGTAACCACCTGGAACCTGAAACATGAAGGTGTGCTTCAGGGGAGTATGGTCTCTGTATGAGGAGGAAACGTGTCCACCACCAAACGAGCAAAGAAAGCTCGGACGACGCCCTACCGGCAGCCCGCCCAGCTCACTATACAGACGGCCCAACGGCCCAAGGGCCAGGCTGGGATTCCAGCTGCCTGCACTCCCCGTCATTAGGGCTGGGCACAGTTCCTGCCCACTTTTCCACCCCAACAGTCAATAAAATATATCTCTTTACACATATCTTCTTACAGATTAAACAAATTCATACAGACATCTCCATTCGGGCAACACACACACTTCTCACCTCAGGGCTGAGAGACATTTTATTTTAAAGTTTTTAAATTACTTTAAATTACTTCTTCATATCCCAGGTGTGACTTGCTTATTGTGATTGTCTATAAACGGGCCTCAAACGAGAGCTGGTTGTTCAGCCACAGAGCGGGTGAGCCCGGTGCCCCAAGCCACGGAAAAGGAAGCAGTTTGCAGGGAGCCTGCCGAAGGCGGCGGGGCCAGCAGTGTCTCGTCTGAGCTCACACGAGAGTGTACTGCCTGGACCGGACACAGTGCAGCTGGAGGGAAGTTTGTGGGTTTTCTACTTGGTGCAAGGCTTTGACTCTCTGGCACCACAGGGACCACCAGGCCCAAGGGCTGGAGGGGGGCGCACCTCACCTTCCTGCTCGCCTCCTTCCGTCCTCCTCGGAGGGGTGGGTCCTGGAGGGAGAGGACAGACTCCAGTTCCGAGTGACCAGGGGGCTCTCGGCATGTGGCCTTGGTGGGGGCTTCTTCTCAGAGGCCACGGTGCTGGTCACCTCTAGGCCCCCGATGAAGACCCCGGTGTGGCCTGGCCAGGGGCCGTACCTGGGCCCGCTGTCAAGCTGTGCCATCTCAAAGCTTCGTGTTTTCCTCATCATTTTCTTCAGGGGCTGTTTCCTGGGGTGGGTGGTGGGTGTCTGGATGGGCTCGGAGGAGCAGGGGGTGCTGTCCTGTGGGGAAGGCATGGCTGGGGCCAGGGGCTCGGTCTCCTGCCTGCACGGAGGGGCTCGTCTAGGGACGCCAGACAGCAGCTGAGCCTGCTGCCCAGTGCGGCTGTCTGGGTCAGGGGGTGGGGCCCGGGACAGCTCACGGTGCCTCCTCTCAGCTTCCGGGGCCAGCTCAGGCTCCAGGGCTCTCTGGTCTAGGGGCGGAGTGCCAGGGTCTGGGCCAACCCCAGACAGGGCCTCTTGGAAGCAGAGTTGGGTCTGCAGCTCTAAGGGGTGCTGCTGCCGCATCACCCGTGGGCCACCCAGGGCCACCGCCGCCGTGCTGGCCTCGGGGAAGCTCTGCATCGTCAGCTCTGCGGCCTCCTGGGGACAGCTCTGCACACATTCCATGCCTGGCTCTGGGCCCCGGAGCTCCAGGCGCTCATGGCTCCACTGCCTCCACTCATCCACCTGCATGGCAAAGGACGGTGCCCGTCAGGGCTGTGGAGGGCTGTCACGGCCACCGCGGCCTTGGCACCCCATCCCCCCTCATGCAGCCACGCCGCGGCTTGAGTAGACTGGGTCACGTCCCTCCTGCTCTCTAGCTGCCCCGCATCAAGGACCAGGGTGAGCCAGGTGGCCAGAGCAAGAGGAGGACCCCTCCGCCCACAGGGGCAGCAGCCAGCCAGACTCGCACTGAGGGCAGCGAGATGAGGTTGCGCCTGAGCCCAGTGAGGTCTGACTCCCCACGGCACCCAAGAACAGGAGGTGGGGCTGTCCCAGGGCCGTGGGATGGATGCCAGGCTGTGAGGACAGGTCCCACCCCTGCTCTGGTCTTCCCCAACCCCCTGGGTCCCATCAGGAGGAGCTGTGCTGCTGGGGGCTCCAGGGTACAGACAATTCTGGGGTGCTGGTGAGTTTGCAAGCGTGTGCCATATTGACTGTCCTGGGGTCTGACCACGAGTGGACTCTTAGAGCTGAGCTGGTAAACACAGGAAAGTTCATGTGTTCCTTTTGCTTGTCCGTTTGGGACAATGAGTACATTCCTCACACGGTGGCTGGGAGCCCAGGGCACGGTGTCGGGGGTGCTGGCCAGCTGTCCCAGGGCTCAGCTCCCTCGGGCCCGCGGGGACCTGGCTCCCTAAATGTCCACAGCACATGAAGGTCTCTGGAGGCCATTCCACAGGGTCTCTCACTGCCTCGTGGAAGTCAGACGGCTGAGCCCCCTGGCCAGCGCTCCCTCCCTCCACTCAGCTTGGCGGCCATGGTGCTCAGGCACCGTCTGAAGTCCCAGATCGTGTCCTCTGGACCCTGGGAGCTGCTCTCCTCCATCAGCTGACAAGACTGCTGCAGTCCAAGGAGCAAAGGGCTGACACAAGCCTGGCACCTGCTCTGTTTCTCTGTGTGAGTCTTCCCGTGTGGACACGCCGTCACCTGTCGTGGAAGGTCTGGGACCCCACCCTTGCTGCCGCATGTTCTCAAGACACAGCAGCTCCAAGGGGCCAGGAACTTCTCTCCTCTTTCCAACCACGACATGATCTACATCGGAAAGGAAGGCTTTAATAATTTTCAAACGTGTGAAGGAGTCTGGCTCTATGCTCGTGGGGACAAAGGAAGCCGCAGACACTGCTGAGGGGCCGGCTCAGCTGGTTGCCACAGCCCGCACAGTTGCCTGAGCCCAGCAAGCCGTGGCTGGCAAACAGCCTGACGGCCACACCGCCTAGAGGTTTTCACCGCCGTCTCTACCGTCAGGCCACTTTCAGCCTGTGGCGTCTCTGGGGCTCAAGTGCACAAGTGGACAGGCTGTGCGCAGAACTTTCCGTTTTGAAACTTGTTACTACACTGAACGTACCCAGACGTCTTTTCTGGAGGAGGCACTAGGGTACCTGGGGGCTGTCTGGGAGAGCGGGAGGGGCCAGCGGCAGCCCCCGCCTGCACCACACGGGGGGACGGCAGTCCTTCACGGCGCACGCGTCGGGGGTTAAGACGTCACGCCCGCGCGTGTTCCTGTGGGCTAGTGATGCCAGCGACGCTGGTCGTGAGGGGCCCAGGGAGAGGTTTCCAGCGGTGCGGCGATGGGCCTGGAGCTATGGCTGCAGAGCTGTGCTGGGTGGTCCCACGCTCAGGCAGAGGGGAGCTGAGCACACGCTCTCCGTGGACGGGGCCACGGAGGAGAACGTCGCGTCTGGGTTTTCACAAACACCAGCAGCCTGAGAGCAGAAGAGCAGGAGCCGGTCAAGGAGCAGAGATCCTCAGACGCGCAGCCCCTCTTCCAACCTCCGGGAAAAGTCCTGGTTGGCTTCAAGAGTGAATGGAAAAATCCCAACCGTACAAGCCTTAGGACGGACTACCTCAGTTGTTCTGAACCCTTCAGGTAGGAAAGGTCATTTCCATCATAGCAAAGGGCGGTGACACACTGGGGCAAGTATCTGTCGCATGACCAGAGTGTCCGCGTGAGTCGTGCCTGTAAGCGTGAAGCTTCGAGCTGGGGAAGCGGCTGCTGGGTTTTTGTAGAGAAGAAAATAACCCACAGAGAGAGGAAGAAGGTCGACTGTGGCATAAAAATCCCAGTGCAGGGATGAGGGACTTGTTTTCACATCGGTGCGGAAGGGACACTGCCGAGGCGGCTGAACCAGGCAGGCCCATCTGGCAAATGTGTCAAAACCTCGAAGACGGCAGGCCCCCACCCCAGCCACCCCAAGTCTAGGCGCCTGTCCAAAGCAAACAATCAGAAAGTGTGAACGATGCAGGCGCAGTGATGTGTACAAGGGTGGGCGACGGGAGAGCCAGGGACCTGGGCTGGAACCGAACAAGCGCGCCGAGGTCCAGGCCTCCACACGGCCCTGCGCGTGCTGGCCGTCCTGGGACTCAGCCTTGGGATGCCCTGGCTGTGGCCATCCCCCACCCTGACTGCCCCAAGGGACATACAGGCCTCCAGAGAAGGCCTCCAGCCACACTTGACCTTGCTCTACACTGTCCGCTGGCTGTGCCGGGGCTCCTGCTTCACTCACTCATATGGGAACAGTGACTGGTAAAAGCACAAGGATTTAACTAGAAATACGTGCAAGCTTTTGAGAAGTTCTTCCATGCATATGTTCCCAGAGGAAAGTGGACGATAACGTAGCACATGGTGACAGTCGTTATTTCAGGAGCAGAGTCTCAAAATGTTCTCCTCTCCCGGCTTCTCTGACCGGGGCGCTTACCTGGCCTTGCCGCTCCTGGAGTGCCTTCACTCCCTGCAGCCTCTCCAGCTCCTGCAGACACCTGTTGGAGGCGAGGACAAGCCGATGTGCCTCTTCGTCCACTTGGTTGTATAGCTTGGAGGCGGCCTCGACGGCATCCCTGGGAAAGAAAGTGTCAGAAAGCCAAGTTGTTCAGAGACACACGTTGTTGGCGACAACCTAGCGAAGAAAGCACAGCTGCGCTCTTGGCCTCCCTTCCGTAGGACACAGATGGCACGCTCCAAGGAGGGCCACAGCCAGAGCAGGAACAGGATGTGCTGGGAGTGACAGGTGCAGGGGTGTGGCGAAAAGTGAGTGGGCGGGCGTGGCTCCCCAGGACAGAAATAGACAAAGAAGCTTTCCACCGGGACCTCTGCTGAATTCCGTGGTGATGAGTTTTGCCTTCCACTTGAGCAGTCCCAGGAAGCTGCTCCTTTTGTTTGGAAGATACAAATGTCCATAGGCTCCCGTTCAAAGTGCGCCCGTTAGCAAGAACAGAGGTTTGGACCCTGGGCAAGGCTGCAGGTGACAGGAACAGATTACTCTGGACGGGCGGCCCCGGCATGGCACTCACCGGCAGTCTTGGCTGGTGCCCAGCTGCTCCGTCCTCAGCCGCGCCAGCACGGCGCCACCCTCTAGTCGGAGGGCCACCAGGAGGGCATCTTCTAGCACACACTTCATCATCGCTTTGTGCTTGCCAATTAGGTCTGTGACCTCCTACATGGGGTGGGAGAAGCGTGCCTAGAACCCTGTCCTCCACGGGGAGCGCCAGGTGTGACCTGCGTTCCTGGGTCTATCAACAAGCTGAAAGTTGGGCGGGATGGTGGAACGCACACTGGACCCCCACCCAGCAGGGAGGTCGTGAGTCCCAGAGGTGCTCACCCGAGGGGCAGGCAAGACTAAGGAGAGGAGAAAGGAGGGAAGTGGGAAACTTGGCGCAGGAGGAGAGCCTGGCATTTGGACAGGTTTGTGTGGACCTTGCCCACATGCCCTGTACCCTGAGGTGTCTCCAGCCCAGGTCTCTAGGCTGCTGATTATCCTCCAGCCAGTCCGCCTCGGTGTCCCAGTGGTACATACTCAGGCCTCAGTGGTACACCAGCACACGCGGTGGCTGTGTGGGGATTTCTTATTCGGGCATGGGGGGATTTTTTTGTTTTTTTTTTGGTGACAGAAAGAAGTGGTCTTTTGGAAGTCCTTTGCAAATTGAAAGGAATTTACAAGTTTAAAAAGGCTTGAAAATCCCTGCTCTGGATAATAGATTTGGCTAAACCTTGATGGTCCCACCCACCTGCTTGTGAAATAAAATAAAATCCAGGAGAACTTACCTGTGCTGTGCTCAGGGTCCGGGGGGTATTCAGGGAGAGGACTGAATTCTGTAGGAAAACAATGGCATCCTTGCAATTTGTGGTGAAAGGCTCCAGCTTCTATTGTGGTGGGAGAAGCAGGAGAGGACAGACACAGTGTTAGTGTCCACAGAAGCACTGGGGGCAGCACCCGCCCTGCCCCTTGTGGGACTTCCAAGCCCGCCACAGTGTGACTCTCCACAGCCCGTGAGTGCAGCGTGGTGGGCACAACACATGGGGTAGGGCCACCTGTTTCAGGTGTGAGTGAAAACATCTGCATGAGGAGAAGTCCCAGGACACTGGCAGGTGCTGTGGCTGTGACCTTACCCTACGGAAGCAGATCCAGGCACTGTGGCTGTAGGGAAAGGAGCCATCAAGGTCTGCGGTCAGCTGCGAGCTGTCAACCAGCTTGTGCAAGGCCTTCAGGGAGCCCACTACCTCACACTGCCAAGGAGAAGCAGTCACTGGTTATGGCCACAGCTGCATTGATCAGAAGGACCACTGTGATAGCTCACTCCGGGGAAGACTACCACCGACAGGATTGAGAGGCAGGTTTAGGGTCCAGTGACCCTGCTTTGCTGGTGGCATTAATGGGCTGAATGTAGTTGGGTCCAGGAATGAAGGTACGGAGGGGTGAAAGGAAAAGGTAGCAAAGAGAAATGACAGAAACATTCCAAATAAGACCCCCCGCCAAAAGGGAAAACTTGAAAAGTAAGAGAAGGCAAGATGATGGGGGGGAAGGGAAGGAGAAGAATGAATGAAGCGACTCTGAGATGGCAGAACTGGTCCTTCCCAGACAACCTGAGATGCTGCAGAGTGGCAAACAAGGTCCGATTCACTGAGGAGGGCTGCTGAAAGATGGATGAAGGGAGCGGCAGGGGGTGAACTCTCCATTTGCATGGCTTTGGCCTGAAGGCAGGATGCCAACATGGGAGACTGGATTGACTGAGGCTCTGACAGAAACAGGCATCTTTCTGGCCTGAAGAACCAGAAAACAGAGCTGGGTTGGAATGCAGACATTAAATCCTACAAGGGAGAAAGGGAGCTCCAGTTATGTGTAAACTGTGCCCAGGACTCCCACTGACCATGAACCATGTATACACAAGAAGACTCTGGGTAGCTAAAGGCAAAAAGAACTGAACTAGACCTACACAGGGGACAGTTTTCAGTTTGAGTCCAACCAAGTTACATGCATTTCAAAACAGTCTGCCATGGACGTCTATGACAGAATCCACAGTCAGCAAGTTCAACATTATTCGACAGAATGTTCACATGTCCAGAATACAATCCAAAATTACCAGACATGTGAGGAATCAGGAACATGTGATGCATTCTCAAGGGACATGACAGTCAACAGAGGTCAACCCAGAAAAGAGCTGGATGTTGGAATTATTAGACAAGGACTTTAAAGTAGTGGTCATAACTATGCTCGATGATGTAAAGGAAAAATGCTTGCAATTATTGAGAGAATAGGAAATCTTAGCAGAGACAGAGAAAATATGTTTAAACCCACTGGATGTTTATAGCTGAAAAATATAATATCTGAACTAAACAATGTCACTAGAAGGGCTTCATAGCTTAATGGAAATGAATAGAGCATGGAGTTAGTAACCCTGAAGATAGAGTGCTAGAAACAATCCGATCTGAAGAAGAGGGAGAAAATAAGTGGGAAAAAAAGTGCTTCTCAAAGACCTCTGGGGCAAGATCACTTGGGGAGGAGTTAAGATGGCGAAGGAATGGGATGACCTTATGCTTACCTCATCCCTCGAACACAGCTAGATAATTATCAAATCATTTTGAAAACCCAGGATATCAACCTGAGGACTGAGAGAACAAACCACACAACTAGTGGGACAGACCATACTCTATTTATGTAAAATGCAGAAATAAGGAAGGAAAGAATCCTGAGAGCAGCAAGAGAAAAGAAGTCCCTAAATTACTAGGGAAGACAAATCATGTTAGCAGCAGGTCTATCCAAAGAAACCTGGCAGGCCAGGAAAAAAGTGGCATGATGTATTTCACATGCTGAGTGGGAAAAATATGCAGCCAAGAGTACTTTATCCAGCAGGGCTGTCATTCAGAATAGAAGGAGAGATAAAAAAAAAATTTCCCAGGCAAACAAAAACTAAAGGAGTTCATGACCACTAAACCAGTCCTGCAAGAAATATTAAAGGGGACTCTGAGTGGGAGGGACCAAAGGCAACAAAGACAAGAGAGGAAAGAGAAAATCTCTAGATCCGACAACTTTACAAGTAATACAATAGTTCTAAATTCATACTTACCAATAATCAATCAATAATACACTCTGAATGTAAATGGACTAAATGCTCCAACCGAAAAATGTAGGGTGTCAGAATGGATTAAAAAAAAAAAAAAACAAACCACAAACAAGACCTATCTATATGTTGTCTAGAAGAGACTCATTTTAGGCCTAAAGACATCTCCAGATTGAAAGTGAGGGGGTGGAGAATCATCTAGCACGCTAATGGACATCAAAAAAAAAAAAAAAAAAGCCAGAGTAGCCAGACTTAAATCGGACAAACTAGATTTTGAACTAGAGACTATAACACAAGATGAAGAAGGGTGCTGTATCTTAATAAAGGGGACAATGCAAGATCAGAAGACCCAACACTGTAAATATTTATACCCCCAACTTGGAAGCAGCTAAACATATACAATAATTAACAACAAACATAAAGGAACTCATTGATAATGACCCAATAATAGTAGGGGGACTTTAGCAGCCCACTGACAGCAACGGACAGCTCATCTAAGCAGAAATCAACAAGGAACAACAAATGGCTTGAATGACACACGGGAGCAGATGGGCTTAAGAGATATATTTAGAACATTTCATCCTCAAGCAGCAGAATGCACATACTTTTTAGGTACACATGGGATATTCTCCAGAAAAGATCACATACTGGGTCACAAATCAGTCCTCAACAAGTACCAAAAGATCGATATCACACTATGTGTATTTTCTGACCACAACATTATGAAACTTGAAGTCAATCACGAGAAAAAGTCTGGAAAGACCACAGATACATGGAGGTTAAAGAACATTCTACTAAGCAATGAATGGGTAAACTAGGAAATCAAAGAAGAAATTAAAAAATACATGGAAACAAATGAAAATGAAATCATGATAGTCCAAAACCTTTGGGATGCAGCAAAAGTGGTTCTAAGAGGGAAGCATATAGCTATGCAGGCCTCCTCAAGAAGCAAAAAATATCTCAAATATATGACCTAAGCTTACACCTGAAAAAGCTAGAAAAGGAACAACAAACGAAGCCTAAAGCCAGCGGAGAATGGCAATGATAAAGACACAGGCAAAAATAAATGATACAGAAACAAACCAAACAGTGAAACAGATCAAGGAAACCAGGAGCTGGTTCTTTGGAAAAAAAAATCAATAAAATTGATAAATCCCTAGTCAGACTCATAAAAAGAGAGAGAAAAAGGAACCCAAAAAATAAAAGCACAAACGAGAGAGGAAAAATAACAACAAACCACACAAAACCACAAACAATTATAAGAGAATATTATGAAAAAACTATATGGTAACAAATTAACAACCTAGAAGAAATGGATAAATTCTTAAAAACCTACCAAACCTACCAAAACTGAAACAGGAAGAAATAGAAAATTTGAACAGACCCATAACCAGCAAAGAAATTGAACCAGTAACAAAAATCTCCCAACAAACAAAAGTCCAGGACCAGATGGCTACACAGGTGAATTCTACAGGCATTTAAAGAAGAGTTAATACCTATTCTTTCCAAACTATTTCAAAAATTAAAAAAGGGCAGAAAACTTCCAAATCCATTCCGAGAGGCCAGTATTACCCTGATACCAAAACCAGATATAGCCCCACTAAAAAAGAGAACTACAGGCCAATATCCCTGATGAACATGGATGTAATAATTCTTAAAAAAATACTAGCAAACTGAACCCAACAATACATTAAAAAAATCATTCACCACGATCAAGTGGGATTTATTCAATATAAAGAATGGTTCATTATTTGCAAATAAATCAGCGTGAGATAGCACATCAATAAGAGAAAGGATAAGAACTATGTGATAATAGAAGCAGAAAAAGCATCTGACAAAGTACAACATCCATTCATGATAAATTTTTCCACAAAGTAGGTTTAGAGGGAACACACCTCAATATAATAAAGGCCATATATGAGAAACCCACAGTTAACATCATCCTCAATGGGGAAGAACTGAGAGCTTTTCCTCTACAGTGAGGAAGAAGACAGGGATGTCCTGTCTCGCCACTGTAATTCAACATCATCTGGAAGTCCTAGCCACGGCAGTCAGACAACAGAAAGTGATGAAAGGCATCCAAATCAGCAAGGAAGGAGTCAAACTCTCACTATTTGCAGATGACATGATACTCTATACAGAAAACCCAAAAGACTCCATCAAAGAACTGCTAGAACTGATAGACAAGTTCAGTAAAGTCACAGGATACAAAATCAATGTACTGAAATCTTGTATTTCTATACATAAATAATGAAGTAGCAGAAGGAGAAATTAAGGAATCAATCCCATTCACAATTGCATCGAAAGTAATAAGACACTTAAGGATAAACTTAACCAAGGAGGTAAAAGACCTGTACTCTGAAAACTATAAAACATGGATGAAAGAAATTAAAGATGACACAAAGAAATGGAAAGACATTCTATGCTCATGGATTGGAAAAACAAATCCAACAGGAGATTGAAGAGAAGAAGAGCAGCAATTCTAGAAACAGAAAGTCGACCACTTTTGGGAAGGCAGGACGGGTGGAGAAGTGAATCCAAAGCCACAGGAGGATAGACCGCATGGGGAAGGCCTGGCTCCCGGCAAGCAGTGGAGCAATGGATCACAAAATCAGAACCTTTAAAAGTCTGCTCCGCTGAGGGACATCGCTCCAGATGCTAGCCGGAGTGAAGCCCACACGGGGACAGCATGGTCTCTGGTCCCACGGGGTCACAGAAGGATCAGGGGTGTTTGAGTGTGGCATGGTGACAGGTATCAGAGCAGGGAAGCCGGCTACAGAGACAGAGCTGAGGAGTGAGCTCTCAGCTCGGGGTTACCTTAAACTGTAATCTGAGGCACAGTCAGGCCAATGCTCTTTGAGCAGGAACCCCGCAAGTGGCAGATCCAGGGAGACCCCCTTGGAAGAGTGGCAGGGATCTGCTGGGCTTGGAGATTCCAGGCGGGGCTGTGAGCCAGAGACAGAGATGCTTGGTCACAGGCCGGGTGAGCTCAGCACGAATCTGGAGGCCAGGGAGACAGGAGAGATTGACAGCTTTTCTCCGAGGGTGCAATGAGGAGTGGGGCCCCGAGCTCTCGGCTCCTCCAGGCCAGAGCTTGGGAGGCCACCATCTTCATTCCCGTCCTCCGGAACTCTATGGAAAGCGCTCAGGGAACAAAAGCTCCTGAAA